GAAGAAAAGGAAGTACTTCTTTCACACAATGCAAAATTGAATTATGGCACTTGTCACAGGATGCTGTGAAGACCAGAACTATAAAAGAATTCCAAAAGGGGTTAGCAAAATTCTTGGAGGCTTGACCCATCTGCAGCTGCTAAACACAATGACCCAAATGCCAGTCAAGAATTCCCTTAACCACAGTCTGCTCTCTACTGAGCTGGTAATATCACAGAGGAATTGTGCTATGCTTGCCCTGTCCTTACACCCTTTACCTCACAGTCTGCTGCTGGAATGAGCTGCTCAATTAGCTGGACCTTTGCTCAGAGCCATTATCACTGCATAAGACATATTACACATAGCATAGATGTGTATAAGATGTTTATTAAGAAATTGGTATTTATTGCAGGTGTTGGCCAATTTTGTTCACCTCACATGAAAGTTTTGTCTCTGGCAGGTGCTAATATCTGATAGCTTGGGAGAAAGGCATTTCTGTCCTAAAAATCTATCATGCCCCTGGCAGTCTGTATCAAAGACCAGCTCCTTCCTGATCTCCCACAGCTGCTCTGCTAAATCCATAAACCATGACAGTGGATTACCTTTATCATTGATTTAACTGTCACCACTAAAAGTAGTTAGCAGTCATGAAATAAGCCAGCAAGCGCATTTGAAGCGATGCCCTCCCGAGGCACATATTTCCTTTTATCAGTTTTAAATTAATTCTCCTTCATTGCGTGACGTGTGCCTTATTCTCACTCTGCAGGATGAGTAAAAAGGAAGCACCCATCACTTCCCATCTCCTGCTCCATCTTTTCATTCGCTCAACTGCTCTCCCTTCTGCTGCTTCTCCCTTCCAGCTGACACAGGCCAGCATTACACAACCATGGCTTTTGCCAGGAGGGATTCCTTTCCTTGCTGAGGTGTGGCTGCTGTGCTGGGCACAGTGAAGGAGAAGGTGCTGGGGATGAGTTATGGGTCACCTGCAGGAGGAGAGGGGCAGGTGAGAATCCCTGGCTGCCATGGCTGGACTTTGGCACCAGAGTGCTTGGCTGGCTGGCTGTGCTCAGCCTGCTCAGTGCAAAAACAGCCTGTGTTTTTCACTGCTACCAGTCTGGCATCTCCTGCCAGCTCTAGGCATTTCCTTTCTGAAGAAAAAAACAACCAAGGTTTGATCATTCACTTCTGGGGTTGTGCTAAACTTGCCAGCATCTGTTCCATCTGAGCGGCGGGGGAAAAACACCAGTCCTGGACTGGGAGAGAAAGGGAAGGTACCAAGTTGTAATGTGAGAAATGAAAGCAAGAAAAACAGCATCTTGAGAGATGTTAAAGACAAAAACAAATGCTGTGAACAGGAGCAGAGACAGATTTCAGAGGAGAGGAAGGAAGACAGTGACTAAAGCACCAAGAGTGAAAACAGTGTACACATGGAAACTGAGTCCAGACTCCCAGGGTTTCTTTGTACTTGTTTTTCCTACCATTTCACAGAAATCATGATGCTGGTGGGATCCCTCTATACCCAAGGGTCAGTGATGTCAATGAAAGTTGGTGGAGCTGCACTGATTTGTATCCATTAAGAAGTGACTTTCTCAAATTTCTCCGAATTACTGGAGTTTAAAATAATGCCCTGAGAACCCAGCTGAAAACAACAGTTAGGATTATCCTTAAGTCAGGTCATACTAAAAGCTAATTAAAAAATATTTAGAATGCATACATTATTTTTTAAGAGTTGCAAAATTCCTAACTTTGGATGGTCACATGGAAAACATAGCCCTGGAAAAACATGTGTGTGACACTTTTCTATCAGTTCAGGAGTCACAGCAAATGCACAAAGAGCTTTACAAATTCCAGCTCAGCAAACAACTACTTTAGAAAGCAAAATAAGTAAATATTATCTCTGTTTCCCCACAAGCTTCTGTTTTACTTCTTGGATTTACCTTTCCATCACTCTCCCTTTCTTTCAAAAGGTGATAGGTGGGGTTTAAAATAAAAATTTCAGGATGGAAAAAAAAAAGAGGAAAAAAAATGATCCTTAATTTCTTTTTAAAAAACAACATTGCTTGGGAGTTTTTTTGGGTTTTTTCCCTGAGTGTTTGTCAGGTCAAACTAAAACTTGTCAATATTTAGGGGTCCCTTTGCAGACAAAATCATTCCTCTCGCTCATTATGAGTGCATGAGCAGAATACAAAGCCCTTTCAGTATTTTTTTAACTCTCAAGTTATATTTTACAAGACACAATCCACTCTCCCCTGTGACTCCCTCCCTCCCTTTGCTCCTCTCAGGAGCTGCCCTAATCTGGCTGGGGCTGTCCCAGCTGAAGGTGACACTGAGGGAGGGAGGGAGAGCCCATCTGGTGACACCACCACGCTGGGCCATCCTCACTGCCCAGACCTCTGGTCCTGCTGCATTTTATAACCCGATTACCACAGACTTGGTAAATTCAGACAGATTGCCTACCAGCAAAACGCTCAATATCCCATTATCAGATTTGTGGGCCCACCATCCCTCTTCATTTAGGATGTAATAGAAAGTGTCAGTAATGTCCTATGGAGTTGGGCTTGAAAATGAGTCTTGACTATGCAAATCAAAAGTGCACTGGGTGAAGACACTCCACAGAATCACAACAATTTTAAAACATTTTTTATTTAAATATTAAATAAAACACATCAACTAATCATTTTGGTGTACACCTCTCATTTTAACATAAGAAATAAAATGATTGTTCAGTCATGATAAAAAATAAACTATACATCTCAATTAAACCAATCACGTAGTGTCTTTAAATACCCTATTGCATTGCAGTCTGCAGAACAGCACTGTCAAGATATCTACAAAAAAAAAAAAAAACCCAGACTTTTAAAATGACCTCTTCTGCTCCAGCAATAATTCCAAAGAGGTTCTACAGCAATTGGAAAAGAAAAGAAAATACTATGAAAGTAAAGTGCTTGTCATTGCTCAGGACAGGAAACAAAAGAATCTGTGGCCTTTAGATCCATGGCATTAAACAAAACACAAATTGAGGAGGAAGTTCTGTGGTTTAAGTACATGTGCTGCCCCTTACAATACTGAAGGCCAAGTTGCTGCTTTGTGACAAGCTGGCTTCTTCTTGCCCTTCTCTCCAGCCATCTCCATGCAATCTCTTTTTTGGGTTGGGTTTTTTGGGGGGTTGTTTGTTTGTTTTCTTTTAAACCCACACTACAAATGAGCATGAGACTTTGGTGTTTTCTCTGCTGCAAGGCACCTCTCATTAACAGGAGTTCAACTCGAGCAATTTTCTGTCACTTTGAAGCTTTCAGACCATGAAGCAGCAGTGGCAAGCTGGAGATGCACCAGTACAGACACACAGATACAACACACAGATAAAGAGGTTGTTTATGGAGAGCCACAGACAGAGCCACATGACATCTTCAACTCTTCCTACTCCCACCAATTAACCTGGTCAATCTTTGGCTTTTTTATTTTTTCCTTAAAAAAAAAAAAACAAACAACTAAATAAACCAAACAAAAAAGAAAACCCCAAAAAAACCCAAAACAGGTCTCTATATTATTTGCAATTGTGTAATACTGCAGGTTGCATGAAGCCAAGGTAACTTGAAGGCACCCTGTGTCATACTAGGGAGATGGGTCCTTTAAGCATTTAGACAGAATGCAGCTACACTCTGACACCTGGATGGCAGCTCCCAGCCAAGCTGTCTCACTGTCTGCTCACCTGCTTCCAAAGTTTGCATGCACTCCCCAACTCATGTCTGTAGGAGCACAGCCTGTCCTCCCCTTTAAACCTCAGCACAACCTCTATTGACACCAACAGAAGTCATGGTCTGCCTCAGGAGGGGAGTTGGGGTTTATACCAGAAACACAAGAGAAGCATATTACAAAATATAAAAAATAACTAGTGTTATATAGTTTTCTGCTTCCTATTTATATACATATACAGCATTAAAAACCATACGAAAAAACACCTACCTAATGCAAAACCTCGTTTTGCTAATATGCCAAAAAACAAACCAACCAAAAACAAACACCCAAAGATTGTGCTGTTTTACTCACTTTTAATACAGTTTTGTTCAGAAAAAGCTGTACTCCATTAGAGTAGAATTCTGTTCTAGCCTATTCCTTTTGTCTTTGTCAGTATATAATTATAACCTCAATATTGCACATTTCCCCAAGAGTCAGTTCTGTTTGGACCCTGATAATGAAATGCATAAAAACATAATTAGCAGCGGAAATAACGATGTGCAGCACTAAGAAATACCCCTCAGGCAACTTTGTAGGCAACCTCCAGGAGGGCTTTTTAAAAAGAAAAACCCTTCCCATTACCCCACAGGTGCTGCTGCTTCCCTCCTCAGTGCCTCGGCAAGAATATGAACAAACTTAGAGTTTATAAAAAGATTCCTAAAGATTACCCAGACCAACAAAACATGGGCATGTGTGCACCTGTGTGTATGTACACACACACCACTCCCAAACAAACATCCCTGCAAAAGACCAGGCATTATGCAATTTGGATCCTGATTACCAAGGGATACATTTCCAATAGTTACTGCTTCTGTACTAATTAGAAGGGCATGCTGAGCTTTTCCAGCTGATGTATCAAGCAAGAAGTTCACAGTTTTCATTTAAAGTATGTGTATCTGGGAGGTGTGGAATGGGGATGTTGGTTCCTTTAAATAAAATGAGTGTTAACAGGAGGGAAAAGGAAAAACAACAAATGGCAATGCTTCCATTTTTGTCTCCTTATGAATGCATAATGCTGCATGCCACTGGTTTTCTGTTTTGTTTTTTTTTTTTTTTCTAAAGAGGTAATCATCTTCACAAACCCATAAATGAATATTGTGAAAAAGGGAGGCTCTGGTCCCTTCTTTGAAAAGCCTCTCCCTGCTGTGTCACCACTACTGACAGCTGCTAATCTTGCATAACAGCAGAGCTGTATTGGTCTGACTTGAGTACAGTACCGAAGAGTTCTTCCCCAACCACATCCCTCCCTGCCCCCACAAATGCCCCACCCATCTGCCCCATCATTATTTTTTTTCCTTTTTTTTAAAAAAAAAAAATCAGTTTCTATTCGTATTTGTTCAGTGCAAGAATAGTAGAAGCAAAAAGACATACATATTGCTTGTTTCAGTCCTATAAAGTTGCCAGCTTTCTGAGCCAGACAGCCTCTTCACATACTTCAAAATTTATTGCTTCTGAGAGTCACTCGTCCCCACGCCGCCAGCCAGCCAGGGAGCAGCGGTGAAAGTTCCCCCGCAACGGGAGCTGCCCAAAGCTCTCACTTGACCAGCACAAACTTGCCCAGCTGGCTGGAAGTCAGGTCCTCCATCTCACAGTCCCCGTGCTGCAGGGTGACAGTGTCATAGCTCGGGGATGGCGTGGAGAAGCTCTGCTGCTGGGAGAAGGGGGCGGCCAGCGGGGCCGCGCTGCTGCTGCTGCTGCTGATGTACAGGTGAGTGTCCAGCAGGTGAGCGGCCGACGACACCGGGGACACGCTCAGCCCCAGGAAATGAGGTTGGAGCAGTTGGCTGCTGCCAGCAAAGGCCAGCTCAAAGGAGTTCTCTCTTTGCAGCTCTGACAGCAGAATGGAGTTGGAGGCTTTGCAGGTTGCATCAGAGGAGGGGATGCTGCTTGCTGCAGGTGTCTGGGAGGTCTGGGGACAAGCTGTTTGGAGTAGTTGGTGATGCTGGAACTGGAGCATTCTGAACAAAATCCAACGGGGAAGAGATTAGTTCTATTCCTATTCCATGTTCTATTCCTTCCTTTCTTGCCCCTAACCTTGACCATAACTTTCCCCTTTGTTTCCCTCTATCAAACCTCTCCTTAGCCCAGCCAGCACAATCAAAGCAAGCTGCCCATGCCAGGCTTTCCCTCATTCTGTCAGAATTCCTTACCCCTTCTGTCAGAGGGCAACTGTCACAACCAAGTTTATCTGGTCACGATTTGGCCACCTAATAATAGATGTTCTAGAGACAATGTGTGCAGATAAACCGGAAGCTCAATTTTCCATCTCGCTTCTATGGGAATGAAGAGGTGCCACCACACATGACATTTGAGGCCACTGGAACTGTGCCTCCTTTGTGGGCTGTAACTTTTCCAAATTACAAGGTCTCACTTCCTTGCCATGGGAAAATTACAGGAGGAGGCAGAGGAGGAAAGAAATCATTCCCAAAACTAACAAAGAAAAACACAGCTTGCAGTAGGGAGAAGCAATGTTTTCCCCCACACTACCAAACTGCTTCTCAATTCAGCAGCCTCCAAATATTTGAACATTGAGATTTTTGAGTGGAATTGCACGTCCTGTGTTACATGTGCCAGGGCAGGAAGCCACAAAGGAAGCCAAGCAGTTTACCCACTGCCACACAGCAAAGATGGACGACAGGAACCCCCAGTGACCAAACCCCCAACCTCTTTTGCTGTGTTTACCCCTCCTTGCTTGCCCTTAACCCAAAGTAAACGCAATGAAAAGGCACCAAAGCTCCTCCCTCACCTCTGCTGCTGCAGCACCTCCTCCAGGAGGCTTCTCCCCTCTCTGCTGCTCCCGCTGCTGCTGTACATGCAGGTGTTGGGCTGCGTGTGCTGGAAAGGGCTCATGGCACTCCTTGCTGCCCGAGAGGAGGAGGAGGACTGACACACCTGCCGAGCAAAGCCTTTGATTTTATTCAAGCCGAGGAACCCCTTGGCTCGAGCGTTCTTCCGCAGCTGCTGCCTAAAAGCCTTCAAGCCTGTGGGACACGAGGAAAAGAAATGCACTTTAATCCTCCTCCTGTTTGCCTGCAGTACAGATCAGCCTTTCTGGGCACTGCCTTCTTGGGTGGGAGAACTGGGCTGGAAGAGTTCATCTTCACCCTCTGCCTGGTGGTCAGAGCAGGATTTAGGTAATGAAACAGGGACTGGGACAGCTGCACCTTTGTGCAGATGGACGTGCATGGCAAAGGAAAAGCCTGAGAGAAATCATGACGTTGTACACTCCATATTTTAGGAGGAAGGTGGAGCCTGCCATCCCACTCACGGCAGCAGAAATATCTCCATGGGCAGGCTGAATCAGTGTCTGAGAACCTTTCCCCAGGGCATCCCACCCTCTCTCAGGGCCCGTGAACATGAGAGGCAGAATATCCAGGTGTCCAGCCTCAGTGTAACACTAACGGGCAGCAAGTCTCCCTGCACCCTACCCTTTCCCAGTGGCTGTTGGGAGGGTGCAACTCCTCAGCAACAAGCCAGGAAGGCATTACCTTGAGTTAATGAGGTATCAGATGCTCGCCTTCCTTCTTGGAAGCTGACAGGCAGGAGAGAAGCACCTCCCATGCAGCCCTGGACTTGTAACACGGGAGCGTCAGACTGGGAAGCGAGGAAAGGCGACGTCATCCTCGCTGTGGCCGGGCTCCCCGTCATTACTTGACCTGCCAAACAGCTGCTCAGGGCCACTGAGCTGTCATTTGAAGATGAAGTAAGGCAGCTGTCTGAGCTAGTTCCCTCTGTGGGGCTGGCAGAGGAGGAAATGACTATACCTATGGAAGGGAAGGAAGGAGAGAAAGAACATTCCCAAGATGAGTACAGGAAGGAACAAACATGACATCAGAGCCTTCTGCCCACCTACACTGGCACTAATAAACAGCCTTGAGCTGGAGAGGTGTCCAGCAACTCCTCTTGTCCCAGGGCTTGACTCCAGCAAGGGGTCAACAAATCAACAAATAACCTCAGTTTGGGCTCCTGTCCAGCTGGCCAGCAACACCAGCATCACCAGGCTGTGCTGGATCAGGCACACAGTGTTTTTTAGCACAACCAGGATGATTTGTGAACAGTTGTGCTTATTTAGTTGGCTCACAGGGTCTGGGTATGTACCAAACTCAATCAGTGAGGTGTTTTTTTGTTAAATTCAGGCACTTTTTCCTCCCCCAGTACAACAGCAGGAGCAAGCAGACCAGGTTTGTGACCTGCTTGTGAGCATGCTCCCCTCTGAAGAGATCTAGGTGAAATACAACAGCACAGCTTCTCTTCCCTAAGGGCCCTGCTTACAGACAGAACTGGAGGGTAGAGTACAAACCTCTTTTCTAGGCTTTCCTACCCTAGTCAAGGTAAAATCAGCCCACTCTCCCTCAGCATCTGGGCTCTATGACACTCCTCTGCTCTTTTCCCCTACCTACAGACATCCTTCATCTCTCCCAGACTTACTTACATGGAGGGACATGCTGATAGAAATGGGTGGTCACTTCTGCCAGGGTGTGCCTCCTGCTGGTGTTGCTAGGGATGCAGATGGGGTGGTGGTCATATGCCTTAATTTCATCTTCCAGCTCCTTCTCTTGCCTCACTTCCTCACTGATGGTGGTCTCCAGCAGGCTGTTCGGGGAGATGGAGCGGTTCCGGAAGAGCCCGTTGAAGTTGGTGTCCACAGGGAAGAACACAGGCTGGAAAACATGCCAGATCACAGACTTCAGGGTCTTTTCCTTCTTTCTGCACTACCTTTTAATGCTCTCCACAATCCTGTGGCATGTCTCCAGTAGGAATATTGTTTGAGAGGCTACGTGACAATGTGTCCAAATGCCAAATAAAACATAGGAGGGAGAGAACAGTCACGACCCCCATTGTTATGGAATGGCAGAACAATGAAAAAAAAAAGAAGCAATGCAGAGTTTATCAGGGAACACCAACCTGTAATGGATTGCTTATGTCACAGTCCATTTCTGCCTGCAAGGATGGCTGAATCAGGCTCTGAGGTTGCTGGTAAAGCAGAGATGATCGCAGGGTTTCACTGGTGAGAGTGTCCTGAGGCATCTGGAGAGAGAGCGATGCACAGAAGCCATCACACACACTGCAGTTCCACGTGACTTTTCAGATACTGGAGAGTCACAGAATTTCAGAGCCACCTTCCCTGCAAGCTCTCTCCTCATGCTTTCTATGAAAATGAACAAAGCTAATCCATCAATGCCAACACAAACACAGATCTCCTCCTCCTCCTAAGTTAGGCAATTTAACTGGAAGTGCAATTTGCAGAGGCACCCAAACCACACTTTAAAGGGGGTGGGGGCGAAGAAAATAAAATGAATGTCAGAAAAACACATTAAGTGACTCATGGAGTACTTCTACAGGATATGCAACAAAGAAGCATAACCAAGCCATGCCTAAAAGGGCAGATTTCCATGAGAAGTCTAATCCTGTGGCTCATTATTGACCTGCACGGGAGGCAGACTATTCTTTGGACCATGACCCGCGGTCACTTCCTAGGAAACAGGGCATTAATATTCACTCAGCCTCCTGCTGAAGAACAGCAGGCTGTGTCCTGTCAGAGGGCACCACTATCAGAAATGGTTCTCAGAAGCTTGGCAGCTGCATGGAAAGGGGGATGCAAAGGTGCCTCTGCTCACCTCAGCATTGGTGATCTCGGAGCTCCGGGGCCGCGGCTGCCGGCCGGCTGCCGGCCGAGTGGACACCTGGCTGCTCCGGTACTCCTTCAGGCGCTCCAGGAGCAGGTAATAAATGGCAGCAAAATGGTTGTAGCTGCTGTTCTGCAGGGACTGAAAGACATTGGAAGGGCCTTCTGAGTGGCAGGTAACTCAAGATGTAAGCAGCCAAAACTCATCACTAAGGGCTCAGAGCAGCATGCTCAAAAAACCAAGCAAAATCCACAAGGGCAGTGAGGATTTTATCTGTGACACCAGATCAAGGGCACTCATTGAATGACCCATGAGTGCACCACTGGCATTCTGGTGGTCACTGGAGATGTATCTAAAGGGCAAGAGATATATCTGGTGGAGATGTATCTAAAGAGCAAGAACTCACCTCCACAGTCCTCTGCCTGTCGATGCCAAGTGTTTGCATGATCCCAAGGACCTGCTCGTTATAGTCACCCAGGTTGGAGTTGTAGTTTTGCATGGAGAAGGACAAGGACTGCTGCTGCTGAAGGGAGGGGTCAGCCTGCATCCACTTGTGCTGCTTGATCTGGGAGATGGTTATCCGCTTGGTTGGGTCCACAACCAGCATCCGTCGGATTAGTGTTTCACAGTCTGGGTGACAAAGAAAGACAAACTCATGAGCAAGGGGCAAAAATGTAACAGCCCAGCCCCAGGTCATGCTAAGAACACTTCCCAGCAACAGTGTAAGATGCCTATGAAAACAGGAATTAAAGGTTTGGGTGCAGCTGATGACTGATCTGACTATTAGATATCCCAGACAGCACAAGAGATGTTGACATGCATATCACAAAAACAATATCTCACTGCAGGAAATGAAGCTGTACTGGATACCAGGTGGCCTTGCACCTTGTACAAGAGCTGGTTTTGAGAGGATGCAGGTTTGATGGCATTTCATGCACATAAAATAGGTCAGAACTTAGTACAGAACCCCATCACATACAACTTCCTGGTCCTGGCCCTATACTGCTTATTTACTTATAACCAGGAAATAAAGCTGTTCATGGCTGTAACTGATAAACTTCAGACTTCAGCAGTTATCTCCACGTGACAACACAGACACGTTCACTTGGTTTTGAAACCAAATCAGAGAGAGGTGATAACACTCTTGAGTTTCATGTTTCTCATCAGACTGTTGGAGTTCTCAGGAAACACTGCTGAGTCCCACTGTTCCTGCTCTCCTTGGCAGCACAGCCACACTGGAATACCCTCCTTCTGCATAGCTAAAATATCTTAGGAGAACTACACCTATGTCAGCATTGCAGGCTACTCTCATTAAAATCCTGTTTTCTCTCTTTTCTGAGCGATTATTTCTCCAGCTAGGGAGTCAAGTATTTTTGTAATCCATAGGGATATTCTAAGAAAGGAAACTACAGCTTTTTAGATGCACCACAAAGCAGATCCCAGAAAACAAAACATCTCCTGCCCTACAGAAACTACTGGATACATGAAAACAAAATAATTGCCAGCTGCAAACTGGATAGCTACTCCTTTATAGCACCTGTTCTAACGTTAAGGATCTGAAAAAAAAAAGCACCTTCGGACATGAAGTAGGGGATGCGGAACCGCCCCTCCAGCACTCTTTGCCTCAGGGTTGGTAAATTGGGTCCATCAAAAGGCAGAGAACCGCAGACAAGGACGTACAGAACCACCCCAAGGCTCTGCCAATAGAAAACAGCACAGCAAGTGAGTGACTCCAGGAAAAGCAACGACTCTGAAGGCCCACAGACCCTCACAAGGTGTGAAACGCAGTTTCTGAGGAATAGCAAGCTCACCCATATGTCAAGGTGAGGCCCTTCATATTCTTTGCCTTCGAAAACTTCTGGAGCTGCATAGGGTGGGCTTCCACACCAAGTGGAGAGGGGCTCTCCCGACTTGTAAAAGTTTCCAAAGCCAAAGTCTGAAATAAAGATGAAAATCTGGGGTAAGACAACAACACTCAACCGCATACTAATATTTCAGAAGTAGCAGAAAATGGAGAGAAAGGAACAGATGTGTTGCTTTGTTTTCTGCCTATTCATTTAAGCTACTCCCTTCTGTTCACAAAATCTGTTCCAAGAAATATCTGTAACTCTTTGTTTTATTTTCACTTACAGAAATACAAACACATTTACAGGATCATCCTAGGGAAGCCCAAACGTCTAAACAACATGCCTGATGTTCTTTATAAAGTGACCTCCTCTTTCCTGGTACCTGCTAATTTGATGTTCATGTTAGCATCCAGCAGGAGGTTCTCTGTTTTGAGGTCCCTGTGCACGATGTGGTGGCTGTGACAATACTCCACTGCTGAGAGAATCTGCCAGAACTTCTTCCGTGCTTCGCTCTCGCTCAGGTGCCCGTTGGAGGTCAGGTGATCTGCCAGGCAAAATCAGAGAGGATTTAGAAACACCCCAAAGAAATTTTTCATAATCCTGCAGGTACTGCGCTTGCTGTTTGACAGCTGACAACACAAGCCCCAGGTTTTTAATCAGAATGTATCTGTTACTCAGGAATGACAAAATAAAGCCATGGTTTCTAAATCTAAGGAACTGTGAGCTCCATCAGTGAGGACTTACCAAACATTTCTCCATTCTTTGCAAACTCAGTAACAATGTACAGCATATCCTTTGTCTCCATAACCTGTGAAGACATGAGAGGACACAATTTAAAAAAAAAAAACAAAACAACAAAACAACCAGAGCTCTACAGTTTCATTTATTTTTCTATGTGAATTCTCAAACATATCCATTCAAATTCATATTTGCAGCAGCAGCTGGCAGTAAAAGCATCTAATTTTGCACCACAGAGTTCTTTCCAAGCAAACTGGTAATGAAAAAGATAACAAATCAAGGCTTATGTGCCTACATTACACAATGGCTTCCCAGGCCATTGTTCTTCTCACCATTACCAAGCTACCTAATCTCTCCAAGAGAGCAGATGAGTGTTTAGATAATTTCATACACTCTCCTTTTGTTAAAATATGCACATATAGTTTTATGACATATTTTCAACATGCAAAGAAACACAGAAGTTTATCTAAAGTTGTCTTTGTTTCAAGGCTAGTGGGGGCTCAGATCAGCAGAGATGGCTGCAAGCTGGACAAAGCAAGAAGTGGTATCAGATCCCCTGCTCCTGCTTGGAGTTGGCTGGGACATGGGAGCCTCCTGTGCAAGGGATAACAAGCTCCTGTTTGTGTAACAGCAGTGCTTGATGCACATCAACAACTGTCAATATATTGCCTATCAATCTAGTATCAATTTGCTTTGACATTTCACAGTATTTGCCTTTGGAGGAAAATAAAAAAGAATAACTAAAATCCAAACGATGAATGAGAGATTCTGAGCGTTTCCAAGTTCATCTTCAGTTGCCACAGCACACCTTTGAAACGTTGCATTTCAGAATACAACATTTCCCTGGAAACTTTTCCCTCTCACGGAGCAGATACTTTGTTTTGGAAGCAGGAGGCTCACAAGAGGTTAACAATCCAAAAAGCCTCAATTCTACTTCAAAGGCTGTAACTTCCAGGCTCCCAACATGTAACCTTTTTCAAAGACTCTTGTCCTCCCCTCACTACAAGTACACACAGACACGAAATGAAAATAAACAAACAAGGAGCAAAGGAAGAGAGGTTCCCAGTTAAAAAACTGAAGGAAAGTGTTCTGGGAAACTTGCCAGCTGAATGAAATTAAGACGTGGTGCTGAAACTAAAACAATGATGAAATAATACAAGAATACACACCCTACACTGGTATGTCATCTAATTCCATCTCTGCTTCTCAGCCTCCATCAAACAGGTAAAGCATCAGTTACAACAACAAAGAAAAGAAAACTTCACTGAAAAGAAATTATGGTCCACTACCAACGTCATCTGCTGCATCAAGTGAAGTGGTTCAACGAGATGGAATTTAACCTGCTTTTCTAAATGCTCTGAAACAGTATTTTCACCCACATCATTCCACTGAAATGAACTCAACCAAACTGTTAGAATGTTTCTGTGTGTCCTATACTGCCCCGTGGGCAACCCTGACGTCAGCCCTCAACACAGAACCATTTTTGTTATGATGGGTAACACTATAAATACAAACACTTCATGTGTGTCAAGGTCTTTTAAAATAACGCCTTGCTTAAGCACCTGCCTTACTGGCTCTTCAGCCTTACATGTTAATTAAACCTTTTTTTTTCTTTTTTATTTTTTTAAGCCAACAAACCCAGCAATAAGATCACAGCTGATAATAGTGTTTACTACTGCACATGGACTTTCAGACCTGCTGCTTCATCCATCTCCACCTTTCTCCCCTCTGCCCTTTCAGACAGGTCCAGAAAGACTGACAGCTCTGCCCTGCTCATGGCAGGGGCTTGCACCAGATGACCTTTAAAGGTCCCTTCCAACCCAAACTGTTCTGTCACCTTAAATCCACACGGCATTGTTTAAATGATTAAGAGGAACTTACACCAAAGGCTACTTAGATCTAACGTTTAGAATTTGCAAAGCAGCCCTTGCTCACGAGACAAATGTGATCCTGCTTTCTGCACAACACATTCATTTGTTCCCACGGTTAAAAATATCCATCAGTGCAGAAACTAAATAAATCTAAACCAAAATTCATGTTGTGAAACTCTGCAGGGGAAAGATACTTAAAATACACTTTCAAAACAACACAAACTGCAACAGAACAACCAAACAGGTGATTTTTTGACGTATTCTAAGACAGCAACATTTACCACCTTTTCATTTTTCACTAATCTAATTCTTCGATTAAGTTTCCACTTAGACTTTCTACTTAGATTCATTTGGTTTAATTGTTGGTGATTTTATATCCCTTCCACTAAAGGCAAACTCAACTTTAGTCCTTCCTTCTCTACCACCCAATGTGAGTTTAAGTCTTCCTCTTATCTAAAGCATGTAAGAAGTTCCAGTCCTCTAGACTGGGAAAAGCAGACGAGGTAGGAAAAGCAAGTTAATGATAGAAGTTCAGCTAACCCATTCCCCAGTCTGAAACAAATGTCAGCCTGCTTTCAGCTTTGTAAATTTTACAGTGAATTTTGTCCAAAAGCTGTCTAATACCAGAATCTCGTTCAAAGAATGAAGAATGACTTTGAAGACATCCAGTTTACTTCAAACGTTTTACAAAAAGTATTTCAGTATTTCAATATGCTTTCTCTCCACAAATATCAGATGCAAAAATCACAAGCAAGAGACCACAAGCATTTTTTATCTACGTGGTACACTTCAAAGGTGGACTCTTACCTGATATAGCTTGATAATGTGGGGATGATTCAAAAGCTTCATTATCTGAACTTCTCTATAAATCTTCTCCAGGTTGCTTGGGTCTAACCTTGTTTTGTCTATTATTTTTATTGCAACCTGCAAATTTAAATAATAACAAAACAACCCCAGGTATTACAAAACAGGTACTCTCACTGTTAAGATACCTTAAAAAAAAAAAAAAAACAAACAAAAAAGACACACCCCCGCAATAACACACCACTCACAAAATCCAAGTAAAGTAGCTTTTAAAGTAGCTTTTAAAGCACAGACTTGACAAAGCTGATCCTGTTTTTCTGAACCGCACAGAATTCGCGGCACAGAACGTTTTCGTTTTTCTTTTCTACGTCAAAGGATTACACGTAAGGTAGCGAACAGAACTGCAGAAATTAGCACTGGACAGGATTCTGTAAATCTTTTAATCCGTCCCATGCCAGTGAAAAACAGATCCCTGTTACAGACTATCTCCTAGTGTAGTGACTGAGACGGTCTTGACATGCACCAGAAATATAAATACGGCTGCATGCCCAGGAAAAAAATATTTCTGCAAATAAGACCCCGAGTTCTTTGTTCTTGAAGACCACTGAATGAAAAAAAAAAAAAAAAAAAACAACCAAAAAAAACCCCAAACGTCTGAAGCACGGCGTTTCCAGCAAACTGAGAGTAACTCAACAGAGCTACAGTAACACAGAACTGCGGGAGCTGGGGTTTCTTTGCAGGCATTCTTGCCGCGTTTTAATTCTACACAGCGGGAAAACTCGCAGCCCCCGTCCCGCGGAGCGCGGCATCACCCGCGGGGCCCCGCGCCCGCTCCCCGCGCACCCACCTGCGTCTTGGTCACCCTGTGCCGGGCCAGCTTGACCACGGCGAAGTTGCCTTTCCCCAGGGTCCTCTCGATGTCGTAGAAACCGACTCGCAGGGGCCGCTGCTGGCCGTGCGCGGCCGCGGGCGCCGAGGCGAACTCCGACATGATCACCATGGCTCAGGCGGGGGGCGGGCAGCGCCTCAGGACGGGAGCATCCGCGCAGCACCTGCACGGACACGGCAGCGCCTCAGGACGGGAGCATCCGCGCAGAGCCCGCACGGACACGGCAGCGCCTCAGGACGGGAGCACCCGCACGGACACGGCAGCGGCAGCGCCTCAGGACGGGAGCATCCGCGCAGCGCCCGCACGGACACGGCACCGTCAGCCGCGCTCCGCTCCGCCGGCCCTGCCCGCCCCGTCCGCGCTGCTGCCGCCGGCCCCGCTCCCCCCGCGGCCGCGCAGAGCCCGGCGGAGCGGCCGTGGAGCCGCCTCGTACCTGGCGGGCGGAGCGCGGTGTGCGCGCAGGGCTGTGCGGGCGGGCGGCCGCGCGTGTGAGTGAGTGCGGCGGGGCCAGCGCGCACCGGGGGGCAGGCGGCACCACGCGGGATGTCCCGGCCCCCAGCCCTGCCCGCCCCTCGCCTCCATGCGCGCACCGCCCGCCCCGCCCGCCTCTTCCCCCCGCCCACCGCCGAAAGCCGAGACGGGCCCATTGACGTCACTTTGACGCCAGCGAGACGCGCGGCCGGGCGCGGGGCTGGAGGGGAGCGGAGACACCGGGACGTTGCCAGGGAACGGGCGGCGCTGACGCGGGCGCTGATGGAGCCGTCGCCCGGGAGACCCGGGGGGGGCGGTGACGTCAGGGCGGGGGGAGGCAGGGATGGAGGGGGGGGTCGGGGGGTCTCCTGCCCACCCCCCGGCTCGGCACGGCTCGGCACGGCTCGGCACGGCCCGCCCTCCCGGCGGGGTCGCTCCCCGGAGCGGCGGCGGCTCCCGACGGGGCGTCCCCAGCAGCGCAGGGATGTCGCGATTGCGGCGCCGCCCCGGCGACAGCACCTGGAGCTGGCGACCCCCCGGTGACCGCCGCTGCTGCCGGCGGGGGTGCCGGTGTCCCCAGCCGCCGAGGCACCTCTAGCGCAGTGAGATGGGGAAGTCCCGCTGGCGGCAGGAAAAGTGCGGCCGCAGCCCTGCAGGGGAGCGTTTCGTGCCGAGGCACAGCGGGGCCGTGCATGCACCGCACACCCTTTGCACTGTGCCTGCAGCAGCAAACGCACCCGCCTTCCCCTGCGCAAGGCCGGCTTCCCTGTCCCTGCTTTCCTGGGTGTGATGGAGGGGATGCTGCAGAGGGGATGCTGGGGACAGCAGCCCTCTGGGTCCACCGGTAGGGCACTGACAGCAGCAGAAGTAATAATAATTAGAGAGGGTGTATATATATATATGTGTGTGTGTGTGTGTGTGTATGTGTATATATATAAAATCACAGAGTGGTTTGGGTTGGTAGGGACTGTAAAGATCCTTCAGTCCCAATGTCCTGCCATGGGCAGGGACATTCATCTTCCTCTGGAGCAGGTTGCTCAGAGCTTCATCCAGCCTCACCTTGAACACCTCCAGGGATGGGGCAGCCACAGCTTTTCTGGGCAACCTGTTCTGGTGTCTCACTACCCTCACAGTAAAGAATTTCTTCCTAATATCTAACCTAAACGTACTCTGCATCAGTTTGAAGCCATTGTCCCTTGTCCTGTCACTCCAGGTCCTTGTAAATAGTCTGTCTCCATCTTTCTTGTCAGCTCCCTTCAGGTACTGGAAGGCTGCAATTAGGTCACCCTGAAGCTTCCCTTTTCCAGGCTGAGCAATCCCAATTCTCTCAGCTTTGCTCATAGGAGAGGTGCTCCATCCCTCTGATCATCCTGGTGGCCTCCTCTGGGCTCTCTCCAATAAGTCCACGTCCCACATGTTTGTGCAGCCCTGTGATACTATTGCAACCCAACACTCAGAATACACCTGCAGTGCCATTATCCCTGCTCAATGTGGAAGGGAGGCTTGGGAAATTTCCCTTTGGCACACCAAGGCTTAAGGATGTGGTATAGGATTGAACCTCAGCCAAGAGACTCCTCTCAAGGTCAGATGTGAAACAGCAGATGCACAGGGTTCAAACAGGGCGATCTGCAGCCTCCACGCAGCAGGTGACCAAAATGTTTGTACACTTGGAGTCAAATTCCAGTCTAGTCTCAAAAATAAGTTTTGAATGATGCCTGCCATATCTGTTTTTCGGCTTTATCTTCTCTATTGCAGTCAGTCTAGGCTCTTTCCAGACAGGTAGTTCTTCAGTCAGGAGATGGGTTTCTGACTGGAAAACTCTCCCTGTCAGTCTGAGCCTCTCCCCTGACCATCACAGCCCATGGCACACTGGGAGGTGACCCTGCTCTTCCATCCAGGCCCACCATATAAATTGGATTTGCCAGACTGCTGGAAATAAGGTAGAAAAGTTGCAGCTCTGCTTCACGCTGGAAATTTCAAAGCACTCGGTAAAAATCTCTTCAAAGAGAAGATGGAGAGGGGATCTAATCAATACATGCAGATATCTCCAAGGTAGGAGCAGGAGGATGGTCCCAGACTTCAGTGGTGCCCAGAATCAGGATGAGGAACAATGGCCATAAAATAAATCACAAGAAATTCCACCTCAACATGGGGAAGAATTTCTTTCCGTGGAGGTGGCAGAGCTCTGGAACAGCTGCCCAGGGAGGACACAGAGTTCCCTCTCTGGAGACATTCCAAACCTGGATGTGTCCCTCCAACCCTGAAAATTCTGTGATTCTGAGATTGTGTTCACTTGTTGTTGATGTTCTCCTTAAGGTCCTGGATGGCTCCTAGAGGGTTCAAGATGGATGTGCAAGGGAAGGAAGGCAAACTTTTTGTCAATGTTTGTAAATTTGAAGGTGGGGTGAGGAAGATGTGGTGCTCTGCATCATCAAATTACACGATCCACAAGCTGTGTATCATCAATGTGCTTGAGAAAGATCTGTCAGGATGTTTTAGTGAAGTTTTAGCGTTGACACTGCGGGCTCTTTCTCTTAGAAAAATGGAGAAATAACACCTTGAATGAAAGCCCAAACTTTGTTCATACACAGAACCCACGCTTGCTTTCTGTGAGCAGGCAGGCTGGCATTCTTCAGGGCTTGAATGGAGCTGGGAGAGGGCAGAGCTGGTGGTCAGGAGCTGAAGGACAGGAGCTGCTTCCATGGTGTGACCCAAGTCGCAGGACTGCTGTGGCATGTGCTGGAGAGAGGGGAATAGCACAGAGAACAACACAGAGCCAGCCTGGGCCATTGTAGCATTCAATTAGTGCTTACACAGTGCCTTGAATAACTCACATGAAAAGCTGACTTATTATTATTGTTATTATTGTTATTATTAAGCTAACAGTATATTCTCTGTGGAGCTCATGAAGAGGAGGTGACGCACAAACAGCACATACAGTAGCAGCTGCATGTGAACAGGGCCCCAGGAGTTATAAAGAAAAAAATTACCTTAATAATGGTTCCTCTGCTGTGGTGGGATTTTCCTCCCTTTAATTATAGTTGCTGTTTTCATTTGAAATTGATTAAGTGTTTTAGGATGGCAAACAGAGCTTGTCTTTTCAGAAAGAACGCTCAAAGACATCCAGCACCAGCTAGGAGTGGAACATTTTTATTCCTTTTTAAAGGACTGAGAATTTCTTTCTTCCAAAATGATAAGAGGATGACTGGATTTGGTGCTCTCCAGAACATCTCACAATTTTCCCACATTAAGGAAAGGTGGACACTTGTGCCATGAGACTTCCTGGAGAGGAGAATATGCTGTCCTGATTTTAATTGCCTGCTTTGGATGGAAGAGGCAAGAAGAACTGGCAAGTGCTGCTCCCTGTGAAAGGTACTTACAGTGATCTCTGTTCCAGGGCATCTGCAGTGAAGGAGGGAGCACCTCATTTCTAAAGTTAAAACACTGTTGTATCATTGGTTGGGAATTAAAGACCCTCTACCTCTATTGCTCTCAGCAACCTTTTGGTGTTTCTCTTCCATTTCCATTCATGCAGGTAAAAAACTTGTTCCAGCAGCTCTGCTCAGAAGTAACCATTGCACAATTTTGGCAGTGTCATAATTACATCGTTTTTCTGCCCCTTTCACTCTGAATGCTGTGAAGGCATCACAGACCTCTTATGCAATCGGCTTCGATCAGCTCAGAGAGGTGCTGCTGTTGGGAAGGTCGAGGCTTTGGCAGTTTCTGCTTTAACACTTCTGCTGCCCTCTGGTGTTTTAGACATCCTGGATGAGGAGTCACCTTGGATGATTCCGTGATATCCGTGCTCGGGAGAGGTGTAATTACAGAGCTGGCTTGGTCAGAATCAGGGAAGAAAAGCGAGGGAAGTGGAGAGGCACTTTTCAGAGCATATCCACGAGGATGTTCCTTGGAGTCCTCGAGGAAGAGGGAGAAACTGGGAGGACACAACTGCTAAGTTTTTCCATTGCAGCAGCTCTGTGCTCCCTCCCTGAGGCCAGCATGATCTGTGGATGGGAATGCACAGGGAGGCTGATGCCTTCCAGAGCTCATCTCGCAGATATTTCCAGCAATTCAGTCTTTGGTCATTTCACTCAGCATTTTCTATCAGTTTCAAAACAAACTAACAACAATAGCAACTTTCTTCGCTTGGCAAAAAGAAAACAAACCAAGAAGTGGAGACATTCCTTTCTACCCATTTCACCCTCCACAGATGAAGTCAGCCTGGCTTTCTGTGGTGGATTTACTGGGTCACTACTTGCAGTACAGCTGTAGTTACTTGGTTTTGTTTCTTTTCTTTTCTCTTTTTTTTTTTTTTTTTTTTTTTTAAAGCAGGCAATGGGGTGATTTGCTTTGGGTTTTTTGTTTGTTTGTTGGGGTTGTTGTTTGTTTGGGGTTGTTTTTTTTCCCCAGAAAATACCAGTGTGATTATTTTGAAAGTCAAATTTGTGGAATTATTTTCCATAACTTAATTGAGTAAAACCTTGCTGAAGCCAATAGAGTTGTTTCCGGTCACACCAAGTTAAACTCTGGCCTAAAAAGAAATGAAATGGGAGGTGTCACATTGCAAAGACTATAGTGATATTTGAAGTAAAGAAGATGAGATAATCAACTAAAATTCTTGTAGGCTTATTTCAAAAACAAAAGCATTATCTTGAAAAAAATGGTGCATGACTGTTTCTAATATGACTTCAAAGTGTCTTTGAATTTGAAAAAATCCAGGCTGCCACTGCAATTTTGGCAAAAATACTTTAAAGCTAGGATGTCTTTACTGAGGCACCACAATGGCATCCACAAATACATTTCAGACCACTGGAATGTCTTTGGTCATCACATTGCATCACAGTTACATAATTACAATCACAACAATGATCTTTTGTCATTAGGGTTTATGACATTTCATAATTAACGAGGCAATGACATCTCAGTGACATAATACATGGGGCTTGTCTTGCAGGATGAAGGGACACAGACCTTCTCCTCATCATTCCTCCTTATCTAGGGCTAGGAAATAGCTTCTGAA